GCCTGTGTCTGGGGACAGGCGCCCTGTCCTGGCAGGGTCACATTGTGCTACGGTGGCGTTGGGAAGGACAGAGCTGACGCGATAGGGAGCTTTGCATTACAGCTCTGATGCACACCTGGAGAGGGAGCAGAGAACAGGACCTGACAGCCTCGTAGCACACCTGAGGGTGGGTGGCAGGCATACAGGAGGTCTCAGAGCTGAAATTGCAAGAGAAACCGCTCAGCCGTGCTGTTTGAAATGACCTGCTCTAGCCAGTGCACCCATCTGCTCTGCTCAGAGGGTATCACCTGGACTCCTACTAGTGTAAAAATAAAAAAAAGCATTAACTTCATTCCTACTACTACGAACAATGCTGCAAGTTCATATACTGTAAACCTAAAATCTGTCCATTCATCTTCAGTGGCCGAGACAGCTCTTTAATTTAAAGTTGGTAACATAAACATCAGGTCCAGAGAAGTCCAGCTGAGGTGGAGCAGGGAAGAGAGAACTGTTTCTCTGAAATTTATTTTTCTGAGATGACAGATTTTTTTTTTTAATAGGGTTTATCTGGATTCCCCTTTGCCACTTTGCTTTTTATGCTGGAGCTGAGGTTTTAAATCTAAGGTGCTTTAATCATCAGTTTGGCTGCTAAATACAGTAATAAATTCGGGAGGGGTTTTTTTTTAAGCTTCTGTCTATGCCTTTTTGCTATATTCTGCCTTGATTTATAAACTTCTCATCCCATGGGGTTACAAGGCAGTCTGCATCAGATACAAGTTTGGCTTGGTGAGTCCCTCCGCTGTTGTGAATGGATATGAGCCAGCTGAGGCTTATCCCAGCAGGTTTCCTCCTCTAGAGAAACGTTGTGACAGCGAAAGAAAATGTGGCAGCCCCTTCATGGTTAGTTACCTGGGTCAGAGCAAATGCTCAAGTTAGAGTTACTGAATGAGAAAGGATGTAAGTGTCTAATAGTAATAAGTGCCTAATTATGAGGAACTACATGCACGGAGAATGTGGATTCTTTCTTTCCTGAGATACCACAAATTAACCTGTACAGATTATCAGTGCTGTCTGTGGTTGTGTCTTTGGTGATACGTGTGCCCTTACAACTGTGTTGGGCAGTGCTGCGTGGAAGTTGAAGAAAGAAATAGCAGAGAGGAGCAAGTGAAGCCAAAGAGATGTGTGTTCAAGTAAATAACAAGGGAGTGAGAAGGGGATTGGCCCTCGGTACTGGACTGTCGAGCCCCCAGGCTCTGGACAAGCTGTTGGACTTAGCCCAGGGAGACAGGGAAGTGATGAAAATACGATTTGGATGTTCCTGTTACCAATAGACACATGATCTACAGATCAAGCACGTCAGTCCTCTTCCCTTCATCTTGCGGCTGAATATCTCGGGCACAATAAATGCGTGTAGCGCACACATCTAGATGGAAAGAAATCTGTTTGAGGAACCTGATTCGCTCCAAAGCAGACAAATAGCTTTGCAGCTGTGCCAGACAAAGGTGTTGCTGATGCAAGCGAGTGGGAGAGCAGAGTTGTTACCAGGTCAGCTTCGTCAGAGTGGCTGGAGAGGAGGCGCTGTGCCAGGCTTCCCGAGTCACGCTGTCCTGGGCTGGCGTGGCAGTTTGATGGAGCAGCTGGTTGTGGGAGAGGTGGCAAGAGCAATGTGAAAATGAAATGAAACGGAGCAGCAGTAACCAGGCAGAGGGTGTTAACTGCAGTCTGCTTCAGCTGACTCTTAGAAGGCAATTCCAGTTATTGCTGAAGTCCCCTGTTACTGTTTCTCGGTTCTCTTCACTGAACATCCCTGTGGCTCAGATTTAATTCAGCACTGATTTCTGGACCAGCTTGACTTCTTTCCTAGCAGAAGCAAACTATGAACCTAAAATGCTGTAGTGGAAGCAGGTGCAGTGCTTTGGCACCTGAATCCAGTTCACTGCAAGCACAGGCAAGGGAACCGGTCACTGGTACCGTCTCCGAGCTGTTGGTGTACGTGAACGTGTGTGTGTGTGAATGCTAGTGTAGACTTGCTCCCTGAAATGGTACAGGTTCATTTTTAGAAGCCAATAATTCATTCTGATAGATGTTTGAATCTCTGTTCCTTCCATACTAATTTTTTCTCTGTAGATAAATTCTTTATTAACTAGAAGTCTTGAATAAAGCTTCACATTCCCTTTGCATATGAAGTTTTTTCTTCAATGTGTAGTTACTGAAAGTGTTAAATTGAATGAAAAGAAATAATTATCCAATTGTTTTGCAAAGAGAAGGCATATAGGTGTGGTGGAAGGCTTTTGTGGTGTAGACCATGAAAACTGCTAGATCAGTACAACTGACAAGTGAGGGACAAGTAAGGTAGGAAGAAAGGATTATCCTCACATTTTGCATGCTAGATCAGGTAGGTAGTTTATGTCAAATGTATCCAGTCAAGAATTGTAACCCTGCCATGATTTCAGTAAAAAGTTGACTCTTACTGGGAACCAGTCATGTCCCACTTACATGTCTGTAAGTTTTATGGGGCTGAACAGACCTCAGTGTATAAAACAGACTGGAATTGGTATCTCTGCACTTGTGATCATCAGCATTTTCAGACATACTATGCTTTGGGCACTGTGTTTTTCCATTTACCCACAGATACCAGAGTTCAGAATTTCTTGGACCTCTGAATTGCGGTGATGTCAGTGCGTGGGTAAAGGTGCACAGTCCTGTCTGTTTGCTGTAATGAGGCTATACGTCTTCCATAGAAGTATTCATTTCAGCAGGAACGGGGCAGCTGTCAGCCACTATTTTGTGGTGTCTTAAGAAATATGTAGTGTCATTGTGCCCACACAGATTAGTAAGTTTGACAGGTTGAGGCAAGTACTTAGAACTGGCCTTTGTTTTTAATTAAAAAAATGGTGTGCTTGGCACTATTAGCACAGATCTTGGCAGATCTTGAAGAGTCATTTGGTGGTGTTTTCCCAAGACATGCCCACTCTAGAGCACAGTTGGTCTTGGAACTGGAGAGGGTCTGAGTCACTGGATAACAAATGTGGTGGCCTGTTGCCTCTTAAGGGGTGACAAGCGGTTGGAGAGACTTTGGAGCATGTGAGCGCTTTTGGCACTGGTTGGTCCATCACACCGTATCCTGCAGCTGGTAGGACTTGGTGAACAAGCTGTTGAATGACAGCTGGTGGAGCAGCTTCTTCCACTTGAATGGCTTGCAGTTTGGGTGATGCCACTTGTAGTCCATCAGGCCCTCCTTCAAGAGGGGGTGCAGATTCCATGCTGTCTTGGTGCAGGAGACCATGGGTGAAGTAGACCACTGCCAGCCTTTCATATTTTACTTGGACAGTATCAGTGAGGAGCATGACTCCTAGGCACGTGTTTTGGGCTTCATGTGAAGTCTGGAAAGACAGCATCAGCTATAGATTCAAGAGGCACAGCTCTTTCTTTAGGACTCCTACAGGCAGCTCCTCCTGGTCAGCTCCAGGAGTCACACAGCTGCCAGGTACAGTATCCAGAGACTGTGAGGTCTCACTAGGACTTAAGTGAAACGACCCTGAGTTGTGTCAGCCTGAACAGTCCCGACAGTCACTTCTTGAGCAGAGCGGCCAGAGATGTATTTATCTCCTGGTGGTGCTGGAGGAAGTTCTCTCAAGCAGAAAAATGAGATAAGGGTGACACACTGTACCAGTACCAGTTGATTTGGTTCAGTCTGGATTGCAAACAGGGTGAGAGGCCCTGGGTAACAAGAGCACAATCCAGGGTGGGCTTCAGATTCAAAAGCTGAAGGTGTATGTCCTCAGCATGGGATGGCTCTTTGCAGAGGGGCACAAGAGCACTTCATAGGAAGCAGAATGTGGCAGCAGTGAAATGTCCATGTTGCACACCTACGACATCGGTCTTGTCCTGAGATAGGTCTCTTCCTCCTTCATCTCTTTGTGGCCAGTTGCAAGGTAGCCAAGCCTCAAATCATTGCTGAGTTCTTCCAGGTCGTGGCTCGGTAGCTAAAGGAAAGCTGTTCAGTAAATATCTAGTGAAGTAAAGGTTCGGGTTTGCTTTCTGCCTCTGTTTAAAATGCTACTGTCTGTGCTGGACACTAATGATTTTATTTTTTCTGGGGTAGTAGTCACATGAATAATGCATTCCCTGCTGAGCATTTTTAACAGTCCCCTAGCTGCTTCCCATCTGAAGGGAAGTGTAAGAGGTAATTAACAGCCACTTGAAAAAAGGATTAGCAGGTGGGTGGGAGCTACGGTTGGGTTCATGCATGGAATTGCCATGGAAATGCTGAGATTTCCTGGCACTTCATCCAGTGTGTGGGCTCCAAAGATAGTTACACTCATGGGCCTCTTTCCTCTCGATCTCCCTACCCTACAGAGGGAGCGGCTGTATTTCTCTTCAAGACAGCTTCCGCAGGCTGCGCTGTCACCATCTGCACACACGGTGAGACCTGCTAACCGAGGGTGCCGCAGAGAGCGGGACGCTGTGTTGCAGCTGCCGGCTGAAGGCTTTTTGCATTTCTTTCATGACAAACCAATTGGCAGAAAATTGGGGAAGGGGGCAGAAAACAAACCCTGGTGGTCTGCACCTTTCCTGTAGTTCTAAAACATAACAGCTTGGTGCACAAAACACTCAGAGTTTGTCACTTAGAGAAATCGGGGCTGGTCCTTGTCCTGCAAACTCTCACCAGCTCAGTGGCCCTTGCGTGGCTAAACCCGCTGAAGCAGACAGGACTGCACAGCTGGACTGGGGCTGTTTGGCACGTAAGCGTTTTCGGGCTGGGCAGTGAGACCTGCATTTACTTTTAGCTTTGTTTGGTGGCCACACATGCTTAAAATATTGGGCATATTTGTGAGAAATGTTCCTCATTTCAGTACCAGCTCTAGAGGTTTAGAAGACTATGGGAACACGTTCGTCTGAAAAGGTTCCTACCATATGTCTCTCCCCCTTCCCCTTTCTGCAACAGTAACAAAGAGCCTCCTGAATTTGTCAGTGTCTGGGGTGCTTTGTTTTTAAGGAAAGCGTGCCATTTGTTTCAGATCACCTATTAGCAGACTCCTACATCGGACAGGAGGACTCCCCTGAGATGCAGCAGGCAGCACAGAACAAGCGCAGGCTCTCCGTCATCTCAGACGGGAAGTTTGAGAGGAGCTTCTCCGAGGAGCAGGCAGAGAAGATGCCAAGTGAGGGACCGAAGCCACGAGTCTACACAATCTCTGGCGAGAGGCCGATGCTGTCGGACCATGAGAACGAAAGCATGGAACTGGTGGTGATGAAGGGGGCTGCCCAAGAGGAATGCCACCATGGCCACCAAGTGCACGGTGCTGGCGGCTCTCACGGCGTTAGCAGGCATTGCAAGGGCTGGCCGGGCAGCCGGCAGGGCTCCAAGGAGTGTCCAAACTGCACCCGGCTGGCTGCCCCTTCCCAGCATTCCTTTGACCTGGAGCAGCATCAATCCAGCGAGACTGGGTGGCACAGAAAAAGGCTGGAGAGGATGTATAGCGTCGATCGGGTGTCTGGTAAGTAAGGGTGACCTGGGTGGTTTTCATGCCAGCTTTGTGTAGCTTAGTGTGGTTGGTCTCTGCGGGTTCCCAGAGCGAGAGAGCAGGGGCAGTGTCAAAGCACTGATGTGTACGCTGCTCATCTGGGAGGCGGATCAGAGCAGGACCCTCTCTCCTCTGCCTCATTCCAGGGCTCAGGCAGGTGAAATCTTTGTGAACGTGCCAGGGTGCTCCAAGGGCTCAGGTACAGTGTTCTGTACTTTGGTGTGTCCCCGAATCTGCGTGGCTGGAAGCTGTTGAGCAGGGTCCCTCACACAGTGCCACCTCATGGTCTTCCCATAAATACTAGCAAATAACATAATCTTGGACTTTCTTCCCCACTCACTATCCATTTCCTCAATATTTTCAGGGAATAAGGCTTATAATTATTCAATTACACTAAAAAATTCCTGATTGTCTTTAAAACCTTAACTATTAATCAAAAATATGTCACAATCTCTGTGCTTTGAATTATAAGCTAGTATGCAGCCCGTCTTTGCCTGTCAGCTCTATATGTGGCTGGCAAATAGTCTGACCTAATTTGTCTGAGATTTTTTTTTTTTTTTTTTTGGTAAACACATATCAAGGCTTTTACAGCAGAGTGTCCAGCCAGGAAAGGTCAAGGTTTTCTCCTTGAAAATAAATTGAGTATAAGGACTGTGGAGATCAAACCATGCATCTTTCTTGGGTTCATAGTTTTCTAGTAAAAACCGTAGTGATATTTACTGCAGGTAAAATCACAAAAAGGTTGGGTTCTGGACCATATTTTCATGACTAGATGCTTGAAATTCTGTGACTAAATTAATACATGGACTAATACTAAAGAATAATAATTAGAATATAATTGATTATCAAGTGTGCAGAACACCTACAGTCCTGATAATTCCTGTGCGTCTTTTTTAAGGATTGTTTCTGTCCCCTGTGATTTTAGGGCTTCACATCATACACTACATGTGGAAGTTTAGACTTTATTATTTTTGTTGCTTAAATGCAAGAAAAGAAGGGAGAAGAGTTTTCCCATATGGAAACCTTTTATTATTTTATGATCGTACGTGTTTTACCTGCTAAAAGATGGCTGTGCGTATGATGATACAGCCAGAAAGCTTGGTTGAAGATAGAAAAAGAAATCCATTTCAGTCCCAGCCTTTCAGGAAAGGAGATCACCGACTCCAGGGACTTGGTCTTATCAGGGTGCTGAGTTGAATCAGTTGCAGCCTCATGATGTGTACTGAATTAAGAAAGTGAAGATTTCCTGTTTTAATGCTGATGGATTTATGTTAAAAGCTTTCCTGAACAAATCAAAATTGTACTATGCACTGTGGGACTGAAGCAGGTTACTTGATACAGAACCAAAGGAAAACTCCAGGTCACTAATGGAAGAGTTTAACTCCTCATAGCTGGAGCGAAATGCTTCTGCTGGGAACCATGTCCTAGCAAATGCTATAGAGAGATGCCATGTTCTGTTTCTGGGCCTTGGGATTTATAATATGTATTTTAAACTAGGCAGCAGTTTTTGTTAGGGCCAGTTATCAACGTGAAATGGAGATTTAGCTTTCTGAAAATATATTGGAATAGTTACTTAAATAGGAAAAGAGTTGACAGCGCTGAACCTGCAGATGCGTCAGTGAGTATTTTGTGTTTTGTACAAGCAGACAGCAGCTACCCTCGGTGCTCGTCTCAGGTTTCTGAGTGCTTGTGCATGTGGCTGCGCAGGCAGCGCTGTGCCTCAGAACAAATCCCATCCTAGCACTGGCATCACGGAATGAAGGTTTTCTCAGCTTGGTCTCGTTTGCGCTCTCTATCCAAGCGTTGTTACTCAGAGAAAAACTGAGAATTGAATGGCACAACTGTCGCAAGTTGCAAGAAATATTTCTTGGAATGCCCTTCATGCATGGCTAGCAGAGAAAACAGCAGAGATGAATGGAGACAAGAGAGACACTAATTTCCCCAGAGGTTCACCTTACAGTGCTGCTTCCTCTGGATTTACATGACACGTTATTGCTGCAAACCAACACTCATGACAGTTAGGCCAGATTGGCATAATTTAATATGGATTTTTATGCTGAGTTTATGATGCCTAACACCATTCCAGAGAAGCACAAGCTGTTGTCTCCTGTGCTGCTCCCAGCAGCTGATGCAAACACATCCGCTCACGGACAGAGGTGCTGAGATTTGTGTGCAGCCTGGCAAGTGGCTGGAGCTGCTGAATGTGGTGGTGGCGGCGTTCTTCCAGTCTTACCCAGGCCCACGGTTCCTTCACTGTTTCATCACAGTTGATGGTAACAAGACAGGAGGACAAGATGCTCTGCCTGGCCAAAAAGGAGCGTGCTACCTGCTCCTGGAAGCAAAATAGCCATACTCATAATCTGAATTTTAATTAGCTGGCAGAGCTCTGGCGCTGAGCTGTGCTCCCTAGTCCCCAGCTGTGCACGTCTCTGCTACTATTCTACCTCTGGCTGGTAAAGAGGCACCTCTGAAGGCTCCCAAATCCTTTCTTCTCCATTGAGTGCTGTGGGAAGGGGAGTGATTTTTCCTATGTTGACTCCTGTCTATCAGAAAAGGAAGGGAGGCTTCCAGCGATTGTCCAGGCAAAGCCTCATAAGGATATTGGCTGTTGTCATAAGCTCTGCTTTGAATCAAAGCTAGTGGCTTAAAAGCTGTAAAATATACTAAGAGCTTGTCAGTCCTTTGAGATGTGTAGTCCCTGAGATGTCTGTACAGAATTGTTGGCTAAAAAGGAATTTGTACAACTTCTCCTCCTTCACCACTTTTGTGGGTTTGAGACTTCAAACAAGTAATTCATTTACAGTCTGAGCTGGTTTGCATTTCTTCTCTATCTGTTTTTTTGGAGGAGAGCAGACATAGGAACTTCATAATAACTATTTAGCATACTAGAATGCAGTTTTCATTTAACATATATATTTCCTTAGGGTGCCTTTATACAAGGCTTGACATAAACTGTTAACTGAGAAGGAGTGTCTGTTACAGCTTTCTATATGATTTCTTGGAAGCTTCACTTCAAAGGAAGCCTCCCTGGTTGCAGTTAGTATTTTTTGCATCTGTAATTGCAGCCACTTTTTGTACTTTCAGGGAACAGCAGGATCAGTCTGTACTAGATGATGATCTGTACAAAACATTTGGTAAGATATCTGGTCTGTAGTAATTATGCTTGCAGTAGGCATGCAGGGTTTGATTGGGTTTTGGCCAATGAAAGTGAATAAAAAAAAAAATACTCTTGACAGCGCCAGAATATTAATGACTAAGATACTGTAGTTGTTAATGATCTTAAAACTTGAATGAGTGAAGCAAGACACATGATCAGGAACATGTGGCAAGGCATGAAGCAAGGAAGCCACAAATTGGGAGTGAAGCGAGGCAAAAAATCGGGTAGCGCCAAATCCCAGGGGTCCAGTCCATTGAGATCTCACTCATCTTATGTCAGTGGGTTTAATGCCCCTCTGGTTCTCTGCCTGACTGACTTCAGCCTGAGAGTCCTCAGAAGGAGCCACTTCTTCATCAGGTTCCTCCTTCTGGTCACCACCATCCCACACACATCATTAGTGACTTATTTTGCTGCCTGCTTTTTGTCTTAATGGTCATTAATGCATCATGTGAACATGATGCAGTGTGCTAATGCAACAGACTTAGGAAATAATCCACAGTTGGTTCAAGCAGGGCAGTTTACAAACACAGGGTCCAAATAAGTGCAACTTTCTGCAGATTGTACAGCTGATGTGCAGAAAAGCTCATGAAGGCCAGGTCATCAGGAGCAGGTATGTGAGTGGTCTATTGAAACTTCAGTGGTACAAAAAGAGAGTCTGTCTCGGGCTTTACAGTTGTGAAGAGAGGACAGTGAATGCTTTCTGTCCTCCACAGGAGGCTGTATCACAAAGAATTGGATGAATGGGACACTTCAGACTAAGGGTACTAAAGAAAAGGCAGAGGCTGGAAAATGCTTTTTAATGAAAAATGTTTCTTTCCCATTTATTTTTCTTGTTCAGATGTCTCTTCTGTAATTCCTGGATTATTCTGATCTTCCACACTTGGGATAGAGCTTTCATTCTTCATTTAGTAGCCTGATAAACAGGCTTAGCACAAATTTACAAACCACTTACTGGTAGTGTACACATATATGAGGAGGATGGGACTCTCCTGTTTAGAGCAGGGCAGGATGATGAAGAAAAGTACTAAGAGAAAGAGCTTGGAAAGTCTTGGCTGTCTGAAGGATGTCTCTGCCCACTGGATTCTCAGGTTTTGCTCTCTCTCTTCCAGATGATGTCCCCATACGAACCTGGTTCCCAAAAGAGAACCTCTTCAGTTTTCAAACTGCTACTACAACTATGCAAGCGTAAGTGAAACTACAGCTGTAACTTTATTGTGTACCTTAAAATTCACGGCCCACTCAAAGCTCTATCTGAGAGCCTGGAGCAATCAAGTTGTATGTTTGGCACCGCAGTCCAAGGGTGAGAGAGAGAACCTTATCTCTTATTAATTTCTTTTTTGCACTTATTAGTTCTCTTTCCCACTACTTCAACTTGTTTGGTTTTACCTTCTTTAACTCCTTAGGCTACCCAGCTCATCTCTGCTTCCCTCATTTTCTCTGTGACATTGTGCCCTGTCCCTGGCCGTTTCCGCAGAGCAAGGGTCCTGTGGGAGCACCAGCTGAGACCCTCCACCGCTTGCTTCTGCTGCAGCCACTGCCCCGAGGGAATGTTATTCCAGGCTTGCCCTGCGTCCATCACTCCAGAGGAGTGTGTCTCTGTGGGATGAGATATAGCCCTACAGCTTCCACGCTAGTCTGGTCATTTGACGAAGGTGTCAGTAAAATCTCTGCAAAGTGTGAGCAGATCTGAGTTAGGAACAGCCTCTCCCTCCACACACCACGCAGGTTTAGGTGCCCCTGGTTGCTGTGCACTGGGAGGAGGCAGTTCTTGAAGGACTGAGGAGAGTGAGGGAAGCCTCATTTCAGGGGTGTACCCAGCTTGTCAAGAAATGCCATCTTTTCTGCTTTCAAGTATTTCCTACCTGGCTGGAAAGCTAAGGTAGGCGATGAGAGAAATGAGCTTCTGGTCTGCCTTCTAAGGCCCTTCTCCAACCTTGTCACCTTTGTCCCGTGTCCTTCTTCCAATATCTGTGTCACCCTCAGCTCTACTGCTGTCTTTATTTCTCCTTACCTAACCTGGCGTCCAATTGTAATCTTTCTCTGCCATTTCTTCTTTCCCTCATACTTTTCCCTTCCCAAATCCCTAAATGTTGGGATAACCCAGACTGGATCAGACCTGTAAGGATGGATGCAGGGAGGGCTGGATCCAGTGTTGGGGAGAGGTGTAGCTGCTGAGATATTATTGGAAAGGATCTGCATCCCCTAGAAAAAGCGCTTATCTTCGTGTTCTTTCCCTCCATCTCAGCTGGAGCTGTGACCCACCCTCCCAGCATTTGCCTGGTGCCAGTCTGTGGACTCTGATGCTAATGCCACCCTGACAGTGGGAGTGAGGAGCCTCCCTGGGCTTCTGCTCCCTCTGTATTGTCCTAGCGCTGCATCTCTTACCCAACCTCTATGTCCCTCTACCGCTTCTTCAGGGATAGTAAGTCTGGTGGCATGCCAGTTCATTAACGCTCCTGGGACCAGGCTGACGGGGCCTGTGGGTGCTTGAGGGCAATTTGACAGAAATGTTTTAGAAATGTTGTCTGGTAACAGTGGATGGTATTTTACAGTTCTGATCTGACACGCCAAACCATACACAAAATCAGCACGTTTCCTTTGCCTTCAGGACATCCTTTGCTATCTGCAGTCATCTTTGCTGTGCACAAGGTTTGTTGCAGGATGTGGCCCATGGCAGGGCTTACAAGGCTTGGAGCGGTTGGAGGCCAAAATGAGGATGGTTTGGGAATGATGCCCTAAGGAAACCCTTGAGGAGCACAGCTCCCTTGGTTAATGTAGCTCCCTGGATAATGTTTCTGGAGATTCTTTGCTGCCTCTAGAAATGGCACAGAAACATCTCCAAAAGTTCAGGGCACTTCCCTAAGCTGGTTGGAATGGCTCCCCTAGGTGCCCCTGTTCTCCTGGCCTCTGCTCTAGTGTTTTCAGCCCACCATGCTCGCTCCCTTCATAGACCAGACAGCATGAGCTGACTTCACGAGGCTTTGTCGCTGTGGGAGAAGGTCCCCGTACTCCAGAAGCCCATGATGCTGAGCTCCCATCATAGCCTGACAGGCCACGTTCAGCCATCAGTTGTACATCTGCACGTTCTCTGGGTCTACACGGAGCTTAATTTGCATCTAAGCCACATGCCAGCACTGCCTTAGGGAGGGTTTAGCTCGGTCAAGTAGGAGTCTCACCACTGAAAAATGTTTAATTTAAAAAGCAATTTCCTTCCACCTAACAAGAAATATTCCTTCTGGAGTGAAAATTCCCTCAGAACACTGGCCGGGGCTGAGCACTAATGAATTCCTCTTCTCTTTCTTACTGCCTGCATCTCCTGGAATCTCTAGCATCTCGTAAGTATAATCTTCTTTATTTTTCTTTCCTTGTCTGTTGGTGTCCTGGATAAACTCCCTCTCCTCTCCTGTCCATCATATTCCCTGTGCTGGGGCTGTTTGTCAGCTGGTGAGAGGTTAGATGGCTACACTCGGTAGGCCTATATGGATCACACCACAACCATCCTCATCTTCGAAACGGACGCTACAGTTGCTAGCATGCTTTTGTCCCTCTTGATCCTGGTGTACAGAGGTTTTGTGTCTGCAGTCTCCTAGGTCCATTCCTCCGTAGCAGGGACGATGGCTGCTCGCCCCCATTCTTTGGGCTGTGCTCTGGCCACTCTTATGTTTGCTTTAGGAACAACTGCTTGTCCAGCACCTACCCTAGAGAGTGAGGACCTTTGGTTTGGTGAGTCTTTCGCCTGACCCGTGACTCACATGCAGTCCTGCAAGGGCTGGCTGTCTTCCTTGGTCAGCCTAATCTCTCTGTTGTCTGGTGAGAGCTTTCCTGTCTGTGTTTCATGTCCTCTCCAGTCCAAAGCTGTGTAGTTGGTTAATGGCTTAAAATGGTTTCCCAGGGCGTTCAGGGGCTACGCAGAGAGGAAGAGACGGAAACGAGAGAATGATTCTGCAGCTGTTATACAGAGGTAGGGCCCGTTTTCTCCCATAGCCGTAACCTTGCCTGGTGTTGCATGGGCCCTTCGGGTGTCATTAGTGACGCTTGATGACGTTGAACGTCGTTGTCCCTGTCTGTGTTGCTGTTTGTAGGGACACTAGTGGTGGCTGTGTAGGAAATGTGGAGGTGAAGGATGCTGCAGTGCTCAAGATAGCTGATCTTCATCTTCTTAAAGGAACACTGTCAAGTTTCTTTTAAGCTTCCAAACATAATATACAGGGTCTGTGTCTCAGGCAGAAAAATATATAATGTATATATTTTAAAAAAATGAAAAACGCAATTTCCCCAGCCTTCTCCCACATATTTAGAATTTGTTCAAGGTTAGCTGAATACTTTTATGTGCTGTTGCTGCATCTACGAATGCACCTTAAAAATCTGAGACCTAGACAAAATTAACATCTTTAGTGACCAGAAGTCCAATCTTTTTTTTTTTTTTAAAGAGCAGACAGGAAAGAAGAGGGGATGGGGGCTGACTCCTTGTCCGGGTATTACAGAAGGGCCCCTCTGCTGGCTTTGCAGGGCACAGCACTTCGCCGCTGTGGTAATCAGAACTCTTCTGGTTTTTTAAATGTGCCAAGGCTCGTGTATTTTGGCAGCCTACTAAGAAGGATAACACAGCATTTGTGTCATTGGTTAAAAACTGCCATGATCGCTTTAGCACTGTTCAAAACAAAGTGGGAGAAAAACATCAGGTTTTCTTAACTGGGAAATTGCCAGGAAGATTATTTTTTTTCTTAGCAACTTAAGAGTAGTAGTTTTTTCATCAATAACGAAGAGAAATAAGAATCAAAACTAAAGATGAGGTAAATAAATAGACAGTGTATCTTTAAAAAGAAAGAGATTTCTCAGAATTTTTTAGACAGAGGCAAGTCTTTGTTAGACTGTTCACATGGCTTACAAATACCGAAGTAGGGGTTGTATTCCTTGGTGATGCTGAGTATTCGGGATAGAGGACAGAGTCATGGCATCCTTGTGTTGAGCAGCCAGCATGTCCCCCTGCCTCCTGCGGACACTGAAGGTCTAGGCAGGATTGTACAGTGGGAGCCCATCTGCATTTATCTTGTGATAAGGAGGATAAATGATGGGCTTTTATCAGTGTGGAGTTCTGGCTGTGCTGTGTGAGTGGACCCTGGCCAGCTGTAAGGATTGCTGGCAGTTAGCATTCAGCTTTCTTCTCCAGGGAGTGAGGAGGACCCCAGCCCCACCGCTGTTTCAGATGCTTGTTGGGCAGCCCTTCATGTCCTTGGGTGTTTCGAAAGTTCAGCTGTTATCGCACAGCCCCTTCAGCACTTGGCCCTGTGTGTCTGGTGCACAGGGAGCCTGGTTTGCGTGGCACGGCACGTGTGCTGGTGCAACGGATGGTGCCTCAAGAGTGAGTGATGCCCAGTGGTTTGCTGAACCTTGTGACCACTGCAAGGAGGAGCTGGGGAGGAGAACGTGAGAGGTGCTGTTGGGAGTTTTGCTGAGCGTTGGTATCCGTCAGTAATTCTGTCGTTGATCTCTGGGTAATGAAAAGGCTTCTCTGCAGAGTGCGAATGAACTGCTGCAGGCAGAGCTGCAGAGTGTGTGGAGGGGGACTGCTGTGTCTTGGAGACCCTTGGGCTGGGATGGATACCATGGAGGTGGCATAGGGTCGTGTGGACCGCGTGGTGAGCTGTAGCCTGTCAGGAGGGAGTAATAAGGAGATTTTATCACTGTAACTTGTTGAATTTTGATGGGTGAAGAGATCTTGCTAGTGATCAAATGACACTGGGTTGTCTGGGTGCAATTGCAGGAGCCAGGGCAGGAAGACTGGGCAGGTTTATGTAGCCCCACTGCTCACAGAGCAGATTGTGCCCCCCACCCCACCCCCCCCGGCATGCTGTGCCAGTCCTTTCATGGTAACATGCAAGCACAGAGGGGCCTGAGGACCAATGCAGCTGCACAAAGCCTTCAGAAGGATCTAGATGACCACAGGATGTCCACATCAAGAGGCAGTCCCAGGCTCCCGCCTCCTTTCCGAAGTGCTTTTTTTTGTAGAAGAGCTGAGGGGGGGGAAAAAAGGCCTTTGTCCCACTCTGAGCGTTTAGTGCAATGGTTAACCTTGAGCAGCTGGATTCTCCCTGGAGCTGCTCTCAGCAGTGTTTAGGAGATGTATCTAGACAGCTGCCATCAACTGGCACTCATGGGAGAGACCAAGCTGTGCGGCCAGCTGGGAGCAGCACTCTTCTGTGGCAAAGGCTGCTTCACCTCCTTCCCCCCAGGGTCTGAAGAAGCTCCTCTGCGGAGAGGACAACTGAGCATTTAACAGAAAATTTGGATTTTGATCCAAAATGCCAAAAGCCCAAAGGCTCTAAGAGTAGCATTGGCAATTAACATTGGTGCTCAGTGTCTGGTGTGATCTCAGTCTCAGCCTCTGGTATGACTTTTAGTCTCACAATGACCTTAAAGATTCTCATTCTGATGAGTTACAACATATGTCTAAGACCTTCCTGTGTAAAGAACAACCCTGGTTCCCTTGAAATATTGTATTTATTGGGATTTGCACAGTAAGCCAGCCCACGTTATCAGTCATCACGCACCCTGGAAGGCTTTGTACATAGAGCCAGTCCAGCACGTGGTAGTGAAGCGGATTGTTTCAGTTACTTGTCTGAAGCGCGCATTTGTCTGATCCACAGCCGTGAATCTTCACATACCCAAGTAGAGCTAAAATAAAGTGTTGTAAAAGAACGTTAATAGCCCAAGAGCAGATGGAAATTTGTCATGCAATAATGTTGCTCCCAGCTTCGCTACCCAGCTGCCAGTTTTCCTTCTTGAGTTGCAGAATTTGGATCCTGATGGGGGCCGAGGGGGGGGCAGTACAGAAGGTGGCGTGGGTTAAGCACTCTCCCTCCCACGGGGACTGTGTTTGGGTTGATCTCTCTGTATCGGAGTAGACATATCTGACTTGTTCTGAACAACTTGGTGTCGGTGCTGGAAGCGTCTTCTAGTCCAATTAGTTTGCTGAAAGCATCTGCATGGTTGTAACATGTCCTTACTCATCCCACTAACTTGTGTGTGAGCCAGACGACTTGTCATCTTACCCGTTCACCAGCAGTAGTCTCTGTCGCTTGATGTTGTGGTGGGGAGGAGGGGATCTAGGAAGGCTCCCCCGCTCCATGCAGGCTGCTGGCACACAGGCTGACTGACATCCCTGGGGGCCATGGGGGCTGCACTGCAGGGTGAAGTCACCCTAGGTAGAGTTCATGGAGGAGGCATAGTCCACGTGCTGCTTCTTCCCCGTGTCTCCTCTGGTGTCCTGTTTGATTCCTGTCCTGTTTGGTTCCTGTCTGGGTGAGTGATGAGAACTAAGGGAAGCAGGTCCCTTGCACTCGGAGGGGCTGGACGAAGAGTCCCTTTGCCGTGGCCTCTCAGGAGTGCCTAGGTCAGTCTGTTTTACACAGACCTCGCTATCAGGTGTAGCTGCTCCCCCGGCCTTACCCACTGGTGGACTTTCCTCTGGAGCTGTGTACTCTGCAGCCACGCTGAACTCTGCCTGTGAGCCCTGGGCAGGAAGCACGTGGTTCTGCAGAGAGCAGGCCCATGAGAGCAGTATCTGAGAAGGAAGAAGCTGTTTCAATCTTTCCTAGCTCTTTGCCCTGGAGAGCAGTACAGGCTGCGTGGTTGCTAACAGCATGGGTGGGATTTTAGCAGCTGCTGTGAATGTGTTTGGGAATGAGCATAGCCATGAGCATGGTGTGTGCATGCCGCCTGGCAGGGCAGAGCCTGGGCACTCCACTTCCCTGCTGAGGCATGTGTAGAAGAAAGGAGAGAGGGGAGCAGTTACTGCTGCTTACCAGGAGGAGAGGGAGCATTGCCAGCATGGGCAGTGGCTTCTGCAAAGTTACAGCACAGGTGCTGTAGTCATAGGGAAGTGAAAGCAGGCTGTGAGAAGGGCACTGCCGTGTAGGACCTTGCTTGCCCTGTACCACCAGCCCAGGGAGTTCAGAAGAAACAGCCACACTCTTGACAAACATGACCGTCCCCAGCACTGAATAGGTGCAGACTGGGAACCAGGTCTCCAGCTTTTGAGTGCCCAGAAGGAGATATGTGGTCTTAATTTTTTTTTTTTCTCCCAGTTTTTTCAGTCCTGGTGGGCCCAGGTATTGCTTTATATTGCTTTCTCAGAGGTTGTGTTTGGCCTTTCTTTCAGGAATTTTCGGAAGCACCTCCGCATGGTGGGGAGCCGAAGGGTTAAAGCACAAAGTAAGTGAGCACCTGTAAGATGTGGCTGTGAGGAGCTGGGGTTTGTGCCGGTGGGACATGGGGAACCCTACGTTGTGTGTAGATGTGGGTAGAAAGGGCCTAGCATTGGGCCAGAGAAAGGATTTGACCTGCTGATGCCATTTTACCCCACAAAAAAGAAGGCCAGGTTGTTGCAAGTCTCCAGGACACACGGATGTCTGCAAGCAGCCTTTAAGCTATTTCCGAGGACCCTTGGCTATGGGAGATCTCTGTGGCCTGAGTGGAAGGGGAGCTGCAGCGTCTTTGTCCCATGTACGTGTGGTTTTCAGTGATCACCAGCGTAGACACTTGTGAGAAGAACCAGCGCTGAGACTTCAGCAGAGCTGGCGAGGGCTGAAGCTGCGGACCAGCTGTGGCTCCCTGGGGACAGTCGGTCCTTCATGTGCCACACAGACCGATGGCTTTCTCTTTTCTCCTCCCTTGTCCCACCGCTGTCTCTGCAGCAGGACCTGGTGGAAAGTTCTCCGGTGGGAGCTGAGAGGACAGTGGAAGGGAGAAAGAAGAGGAACAGGGAAGAGACTGAAGCAAGGGGGAAGTAAGGGAGTGGTATGCCTCACTGGGGAAGAAATCACCTCTTAGGCCTGGGAAACAGCAGTTCCCTTTCCCTGAGGAAGGCGACGTTCCTCCATAACTTGGTTGGGGCAGCTCCCTTATTGCTGTGAAATGGGCTGAGAATGGTGTGACTGGCTCTTGAGAGCTGAGGATTGCTCCAGGAGAGGAAACAGCTTGTTCTTCCCACCCCCTGGCCAGGCACTGCGTACAGACTGCCCACAGCAAAGCATTGCTGAGTTGAATTTGCATTCTTTCTTCCCCTTTCTAATATGCCGTGGGAAAGGAACAGCAAACAGCATTGCCCTTTAAAGTGTCTTTATTGGCATCTGAGTTAGCACTGCCTGAAACGAACAGGGCTCACCTCCCCCTAGAGCTGTCTGGAAGTTCAGGCATGCCTCTCTGCCTTGGTAACTCTCGGGTCATGTTTTCAAAGCTTCCTTTGTGTGCACAATAGCTAAATGCCTGGTTTTAAATGAAAACTGAGGATGGAGATCACCTGAAGAACTTCCTGTGTGATTTGTCTCCCTGGACACCCACACTTGGACACACAGCAGCAGAGGACAGGTTGCTTCTCAGCTCTTGTAATGCGTCTCTGCAGTGAATTCCTGTGCCGCTAACATGAGATGCTGTTACTAGATATGCTGCAGCAAACTTGCTCTGTCTGCTACCAGAAATAGGTATTAGTGGCTATAAGTGGCTGTTAATCTAGGCATAATGGCTCTCACATGGGCTTGCCAAGTCCAGCACTGTGGTTGGCAGTTCCCAGGAATTTGCCTGTGGTGCAGCCAGCTGGGCCAAGCTCCCTGGACTCTGCCTGGGAAATGCTGGTACAAACAATATAATGTCAGTTGGAAGAAAAGAAAAAAAAAAAAGCCGAAAGGGAGCGCTCACAAGAGTGCAGCAAGCAAAAACTGAAGGATTTCTTCTTTTGTATCAAAGTTTAAAAAGCATGAGCTTTCCAGAGGCCCCCTGCTCAGTTTGGTCCAGTTCTGACTGGGATGTCACTAGAACGTGAAGGGAGAACTGCCTGGAGAACTGCCACCTTCTGGTCATGTATGTGTCATTGGCTGTTGGTACATCTTCCTGTGAGGCCTTTGAGTCAGAGCATTTACGCTGGGACACTGGAATAGCCTTGATTAAACTGAGGTTTGAGCAGTGTGCATTTAAGGAGAGACCACCAAGTGTCCTCCTTTTTCTGTGTGACATAGCCTGTAATGGTCCTGCTCAGAAAGTGGGCACTTTGTCTTCTGCTCTCCAGAAGATAGACCCTTGTTTGCTGTGTGGAGAGGACTCACGTTTGGCAAGTGGAAGAACAAGCCCAGGGGAGTCCGTGATGTGTGGCTTTGGTGGAAATCTACTGGATGTTTTGTTTTGCTGGCAGCAACAGAGGTGGCTTTGGAGTCTGTTAATGTCGTGCTTTGGTTTTATCCTAGCATTTGCCGAACGGCGTGAGAGGAGCTTCAGCAGGTCCTGGAGTGACCCGACTCCCATCAAAGCTGATTCCTTCCATGACTCTCGAGAAAGTGAGTTCTGAGTCCTTTGAGCTTCCTCCTGTGGCCAAACCCTCCAGCTGAGGTGTTGACTGGAGTCCCACTGGAGTAACTCCTCTGTGCCCTTTTGTCCCATCTGTGATCCTTTTAGTTTCCTGAGATCTGAGCAAATAACACTCCAGGTATATGCACCTGTTCATCTGTGTGTACCTATATTGATTTGTAAAGCACAACGCATCTAACCTCCTGTTATTGTGCAGTTGCCAAAGGATACCTAGTGGTTCAACTCTCTTACAGCCCTCTGTTCCCATCATCCCTTATTCACTTGGGACCAAAACAACCTACCTGGAAGCACACCAGTCCAAGGCTACGTTCACCGTGGTGGGACTAACCTGCCTGGCTTCCCATGCAAGAGCCCCTTCTGAGCTCTTTCCTAGGCTAGAATAGCTTAAGAGCATAGCTGTAGCGCTCCATGAGATGTAGCTTTGATTTCCTGGTGGTGCTAGCCGCACAGATGATAGCTTGGGGCAATCTGATCTTTGTTTGGGCTGCCAGGAATTCCTCCGGGAATCCCCAGTAATGCCGCGATGTTCTGCTTGTGGGGACCGAGATGCTGCTGTGTTAATTTACAGGAGGAAATGCCAGCATCTTCCCACTGTCTTTTTATAAAGGGAACAGCTGTTTTACCCAGATCCTATTGAAATCCTGTAGGCAAGGGACTTGGTGGATATGAGTTTGCCCATGCTGAAATGGATTGTATTGTAAATGAATTTTACTAATGAAATGAACTGACCAACCAGGTAAGCACGAGATCCAGCCCTCCTAGCTGTAGAAGACACCGTACCGGGTTGTAGGGGGACATGTATGAAAGGCCACGTTCAAAACATGACCCGATTGTTCCTTTGCAGTCTGATTCCTCCCCGCTCCCTCAGCTAACTCAGAGGCGAATGGAAAAGACATGGTTCAGACAGGCTCCAGGCACTGCCCAGTGGCACTTGGACATCCCGAAAGGCACAAATAGAGGCATCTCGGTTCTCTTTCCTCAGTCCCTGACTTCAGGGAACCATCTCTATTTTTAACATTTAACAGTCAATTATATTCCTTCCAGATGTTTTTTTTCCCCAGGAGGCATTGAAGGCCAACAGGTAAGGTCAATTTGGAGAGCAAATTCAAGTATACTGTTGCAATACTACTGTGTTTGCTACGGCTGTCCTCACGCTCTGAGACTTCTCTGCCAGGATCAGTTTGACCAACAAGGCGGAGTTTCTTTATACTCGGAAGACGTAGTCAGAACAGTAATTACTACAAGGAGACCAGCTTTGAAGTCTTTGGACTCTTGCTCATCAGCTTGGCCTTGTTAAGGTGTAGAGAGTCTGTCTGCGTTCTGTCCCCTCCATTTCTGAAATGATGGGGTGACTCTTGTGAAGTAGCATTTGAAAGCTAAACTTGGTGACTGTGAGAGTGATGAAATGTTATGATGTGATATGTGGTATCAGGCTCTGTGTGTGCACTCTTCATTCGTTAAGTGTTTGTCTGTTTAGAGACGCCAGCCCCGAAGTGTGGTGTCTGTTGCTCTGTGGAAGAAAGGAGGGCATGAGTCTCATGGCTTGCGGTACCTCTTGTGAGGTAGCTGCCAGACAGGAGCAAGTAAGGAAGGTGAGCCATTCTGCCCTTGTAACGCACACTGTGTTCTGGCAGGCCATGACCTTCAGGATTCCTGCGGCACTTTGGATGGCGACTTTGACTTGAACTGGGAAGCAGAAAAGGAACTTGAAGCCATGGCATGTGACGGAGAAGACTTTATTCCACCAAAAATAATGGTGAGGGTTTCCAACTCAGCTACCTGTATCTACTCAGGCTCTGTCTGTCTTGTCAGAGCTGTTGAGTTTAGGATCTTCATGGGAAGAGACAAGTCTTTTATATAGGCAACTCTTCGGGTGTGTATGATGGCCACTCAGAAATCAGCCAAGACATGACATCTGTTATGCTCGGGGTAATGTGTTCAAAGAAAACTAGAAATGGAAGAATCTGTAGTCCAACCCCAAATCAGAGCAGGACTGTCACCAACACCGAATCGAGTTAGCCTGAGTCTCAATAACCCTAACAAGAGACCTGGTCCCCAGTCCCACCAGTCCCTCCCTCCTGTTGTTACTTGCCTGGTTTGCTTTGGGGACGTATGTCATCTCTTTGAGATGCTTTCTGCTCTTCTGTCATCCCTTGATGCTGGGCTTCCCCCGGTGCTCCCCCTTCTCTGCCCAGTGGGGTTGGGCAGACAGGACCAGGTTCTGGCACATCCCTTCTTTGGCCACAGGCACCAGTACTCAGGCAAAGGGGGGTCTCAGGCTTCCAGCTGGTTCTCAGGGCAGTGTTGCCAGTCGGCCCCAGCAGGACTGTGTTTGAATGGGCCCTGCTAAGTCTTGGGAAGGGTGCAGGACGTGGAGACAGTCTGCTTTTAGGGTGTTCCCGTGCTGCCTGTTCAGTCTGAGCCCTGAAGCACTCTCAGGGCAAAGTGGCCAGGTGAGACCCACACTCTAGGAACCCAACCCTTGGGTTTGCTCAGCTCATGGTACCTCCAGTGTGCCTCCACAGGTGGTGTATGTGAGGAGTGGCCGTCCCTGGACTCTGCATTGTGCCTCTTCAGAAACTTTATATGAACTCCCAGGTGGCAAAAGGAGTGATGGGGAGCCCGCCAGGTGGGAAGGCTTTGAAGGCAACCCAAGCTGGAACCCAGGCTGCCCACTCCACTCTCACAGCAATGAACAGAGCTGCCTGAAATCACAGCACAGCCAAATCGCCCGTGTTCCTGTAGCCCTTTGGCTTGTGCTGATGGCAGGCCTGTCCTCTCGGGCTCCTGTACTGGTGGAGCCAGCTGAAGCTTCAGCCA